GGATGTCCACCTGATACTCGGAGAGTATTTAAAGTTTAAACAAACTATGTGGAATGTGTCCGAAAAAGGTTTTGGTAAGACTCAGTATTTGGATCATCTCACAACAATATGCTACAAGGGAACTGGATATCTTTAGGCAGTTTCCATGAACCACTTTAGGTATTTTCACGAAATTCCACTAGAGGAGCACCTCTCCATATAAGTAATTTTGTTAAAAGTATATCTTCTTGAGGGAATCTTTAAATTGTTTTTTAATTCTCAGTTGATTTATATGCATCTCCAGTTGAAAGCTTAAGCAAATTAGATGATGATAATCAGTATCTTAACTCACAATTAATACGCATGTTGCATAACACAAATATTGCTTACATTGCCGCCGCCTCCGCCTCCACCTCCTCCTCCACCACCACCGCCGCCGCCCTTATTTTTTCCCATCCTATCAACTTCTTCGGCCAGCAATTATTTAATTTATTTGGTTTGGGTTTTTTCGGTTTTGGTTTGGTTTTTGGCGAGCAAACTTTGGCCACAGCAGGCAAATTGCAACTAATAAGCATCGCCCATAGCCCCACAGCAAAGTGCATGAAATGAATTCATTCCGCAGCCAAAAAGAAGGCCGAAATAAAAGTCGAAAGCAAAACAAACTAAAGAGAATTGTGTAGAAGGTATTGCGACTGAAAGATACCCGCTATTTAGTAACCTAAAATTCTTTATCGATGCGATTATAGGAATAAATATGTTAATGAGCTACGAAAACACTGGACGATGATATGCTTGCGGATAATTTTGATGGATAATAAAACTGTTTGTGAATTTTTTAAGAGTTTGATTCTTATCAAGAATATACACGAATACAGCATACCCTTCCACTCCAACGAGTGCAAGGTACAAAAATGCACAACACCAAAAGGCAGGAAAGAGGAAGCCGAGCCAATGTTTTTGGCCATCAAATGGATATGGGAACGGGCAGTGAGAACGGAGGGAGGCAGCCCAAGGCAGAGCACACTAGAGCACACCAGAGCACAGAGCTGGCTGAAATGGCCCATAGCTCTTAACTGATTTAATCATCAGCCCGGCACCACTCTCTTGCCCTCTGGGAAGCCGGAAGGAATGAGTAGTGGCTGATTCTCGCGGCGACTGTTGGGATTATTTTTGTAGTATTTCTTTTTGGGATTTTTATTCCGTTTCTGTTACGGTTTCTACATTTGCATTTGCTTTCGGCCCTGCCCATGTCCCCCGACCTCCCCCGCCAACTGTCCCCAAGGCCAAGGCATTGACATTGGTCAATACTGGCGTTTCTGGTGGTGTGAAATGTGGTTCTGCTTCAGGTTCTAGCCAATGGAATGCAATAGGGTGATGATAATCCCCCAACTCAATGACGTATTCAGTGGCAAGTGCAACACGAAGATATTAATAGATGCAAAGAGACTCAAGTGGGATTGAGGTGGCTAAGAGAGAATTTTAAATTTCAAGGGAAATGGGTGCAAAAGGGCAAAAAAGCTGACACTGAGATGTATATTAATAGATGAATAATTCTGTGGGATGCTCACACTGCGTTGAAGGTACTTGGGTATTTTGATTGTGCTGAAAGATGGAGAAATTAATTTATTTATTTGGTAGGTAAAAAAGCTAGGCTAGGGAAGTGGCTTATCTCTGTTGCATATCTGGATACAGAAATGAATGAACACGGATAAATTCCCCGCCGACATGCAATTACTGTCACACCTGGCGAATAGATCCCTAACAAGAATGGAGTCCATTCAAAGGCATTCCGCCTGTCTGCGCTCCAAGGAAAAATGGTCCTGCTCTGATTTCTTCATATGCTAATTACAGTTATCAAAAGTTTCTCTGGCGCTGGCACCGGACACTGGAAACTCAATGCATACCTAATGAGCAGCAGGAGATGATAAACCTCAACCTGGTTCCGTCACTCCCAAACACTGCCTTCTCTTGTACGAGTGTCCCCTCCTCTCGGACCAGATGCTAAATACTGTACAGGAGAGTGTGAGTCCAAAGATGTCCAGTCGGTGTCAGCTAATTAAATTAGATGCTTTATACGGTGAGGCTCCTGGTGAAACCGATATCAGGGAGATGTACCTCAGAGCCGCAACCGGAATGGAATGAAAATGAAAACGCTGAGAACTGGAGGACTGGAGGTCTGGGGGACTAATTCAACAAGTTGAAATCTGTACATGGCAGTGGCATAAAACCAAATTAGAAGTGAAAAGTATAGAATAAGCTCATAAAATTACGCACACACATGCTCTATAGAGGACTTGGAAACACGGAGGATGGGTAGAATGGGTTGGATAGCTTGGATGGTGACCCGAAGCCTGAGGCGAGGCCAACAAAGTCGCTAGTCCGGACATTTGCTGCAGGTGCGGCAGGAAAAACTTGCACCTGAAAGATAAACCCCAAACAGAAGCAGAGCCCCATAGAAGAGCAGAGGGAGACACACAGACCTACCGACAGTTAGACATACGGACAGACAGTTTGAATTTAAACGAAATGGGCGTTACGGGGGCCAACTAAATACATACATAAAAGCGAAAGAGATGCGAGAAGGCGAGAGAGTGAGAGGAGAGTGGGGAGAGGAGAGGATGGCACAGTAAAAGTGCGGAACTTTAATTAAGTTTTGGTTCTCCCAGCTGACTGACATCTTGAATTACAAATGAAAAACTTGTGTGCAGCAAAAGGAAAACCAGCCAAAGGAAACGAGCCAAAAAGAAACGACAGACAGTCGTAGAACAAGAGCGGGAGGGCAGTGAAAATAGTGCATAATAACACACTGAACTGCAAAAAGGTGGAAAAGCAGGAGCAGAATGCGAATGCGAATGCGAATAAGTTGCGCAGCCAGCAGAAGGACGAAGAGAAAGACGGGCAGGACAGCCTCAAATCACAGAGATAGAAATCAAAAAGAAATCCACTCAGCAAAACGCCACCCATAAAAATTTCTCTATGAACAATTCTTGGAACTCAAAACATGAGCTACGTTCAAGCTCGCTATCTAAACTATCTAATCTGTGCCTAGAATCAATCTTCTTAGATATTAAGTACTCCTTAACCAACCTCCCCGAAAGCTGAGAAAATAAAGTATCTCCAAGTGCGTTTTCATAACAATCTTATTTTCGCTTGGAAATTATTATTTTCGTTATTGCTGGTTATTTTGGAATACATACATTAGAGAATTAGACCGAATCAGATGACAGAAGATGGCGAAGATGGTTCCATTTCCCTCAGTGTACACTTATAGTAGTTCCCTCATACAATAGTAGCCTGCTAGTTAGCTGTTAAGAATGGCCATCACAACAAACTAAGACCGCGAATAGCCTTATCTCGCACAAGTAGGCAGTCCCTTGAAGCCGCTCAAAAATCGAATAAAAAATGGTTCCATTCATGCCACAAAAAGAGAAAAACTTTGCATGGGAAAACCAAACTATGGGAATACCCTGAAAGATATTCCGTAGCAGATAAACCACTTCCTCTTTTTCAGCTCACTCAAGTGAATATATTTTATATAATTTCCAGACAATGATTTGGTGACGTGACGTCTTCCCCGTGTGGATAGTTTTCGATATTTAAGCGTTACTGCATAAAGGGTGAGATAGCGTTAGGGATAAGATAGCGAGTAAGAAAACACGTGAACTGAATTGAATTTCGGACCTATGCTACGAGTTTATCTACAATATAAGAAAATATTGTATTTATCTTAATAGGTAAAGAACGGGCAATCTATAGAATAGAGTGCAGGTAACCTTGCTTGAAGAGTAGTAAGAGGTCGTCTCAGGAAAGGATGTATGAAAAACCGCAACGGAACTTCATCATCAGGAGGAGCCTCTGCCACAGAATTGGGTTTTAGTTCACGTACCACTCGGGAACGGGAAGTTGATTTTCACTGCCTGCTGCCGTGGCTGCAAAAACCAGGAAACAGATGTTTGCAAATATCTTGAGAGAGAACTTTACGCCAAGGTATTTAAATAAAGGTTTTCGCAGCAGCAACTTTTTCGTCAGCCGCACGGCAGGGAAATGCAACAAAAAGGAAAGAAAAATACGAATGAAATCTGAATGGAATGGAACCCCAGCAGCAGAAGGCAACGCGAAAGCAGACCCATTCAATTGCACCGAATTGGCAATCAGCCTCGGAAACGGGTCGCCTTAATGGGATATCATGTAGTATTCATATCGAAATCTGGTGATATGGCGGGGGGGGATCGCGTCTAAATATACTTTTAAATGGCTTGCACAGCTAGTGAACACTTAGAGAGCTCGTGTCGATAATCCCGTGGTGACTAATTAAAATTTATGAAAGAACTACGAAAGTTTTCCATTCGGACTATAATCAACAATTTAGAAGTCATGAGGTATACTCTAAAGCTGGTTCAAAGTACAGAATACGGATATTATGCATATAACGAACGTGGAATACGCTATAGTTTAAGATACTAGGTCCTACATTGCTTAATTTATATATATTTGTCTGCATACTCTAAGCAATAGATGAAGCCAGCCCATTAAAAAATGATGTTATTAAACTAAATATATTCCAACTTCCGCTTTAATTTTACCACAAAAATTACAATACTAAGTGTTACATAAGATGCCACTGATAAAGGGGAATCTCTCAACGGAACAAAGATAAAATGTATGGCAATTAGGGATGGATGTTGCCATTGACTGGGCAATGGAATTAAAATTTAATCACTCTTATCGCAGCAAAGGACAAACCTTCAATTAAAGAGCGCCATTGAATCTATCAGATGATAAATATGAATACATTTATTCGTATTTTCTTTGACTCGTGTCAATGCCTTTTATCTATATTCGCTGGCTTTCATTGATAACTTGCACTTAACCTAGGCTATGCTTATCGTTCCGTGGGCGATAAGCTGCAAGGGGCATGGGCATGGGGCAGCGTCTTTATAAGTAGCCCTTCCCTGGCCAGAGCTGCATAGATAGTTGCGGCTCGTTCGCGTGTCCAGTGATTTAATTTCGGTATCAAGAAAATGGCAAAGTTACCCTGCAGCTACGATGCGGAGAAGCGGATCTGGAAGGGCATCCAGCTGAGGTGCGACTACAAGCCCGACACCTCTTTGGGAAAGATCATCTTCAAGAACATGAGAAATTGGCCAAAGAATGTCTGCCAGGTAAGTGATCAGTGAGTTCTTGTTGGGGACTGCTCTAAAAGGATTGTGGTGCCATAGATCTCGGACACTGAGGAGGTGGAAGTTACCTTCCAGGAGGCTCTCACCTGGGCCATCCGCATTGCCCAGCAGCTGAAGAAACGTGGCTTGACCCACACCGATGTCATCGGCATCAGCGCCAAGAACACCACCTATGTGATGCCCACTGCTGTGGGATGTCTGTTCAATTCCACACCCTTCCAGTCAGCAAATCCAGTGCTTGAAGAATGTTAGTATTCAAAAGGAATATAAGTTCAAGGGGAAATCGGTTAACTCACAAAAACCATTTCTGATTTTTACTCCACGTTGTATAGCAACCATCAAGCATCTTTATAATATCTCAAAGCCCAAGCTGGTCTTCTGTGATGCTTGCAACTATGATAAACTATATTCCGCTACCTCGGATTTCAAGCCAGAAATCATAACGCTCACCGGTTCCGTTGAGGGAGTGCTCACTATTCAAGATCTGCTGGAGCCCACCAAAACTGAATTCTTTTACCAGTAAGTAGGTCACTACCTCGATCAATATTGTCACCATCCTGATCCCATTTAGGCCGGAACCGCTGAGGGATGGACCAAATCAGACCCTGGCTATCCTCTGCTCTTCAGGAACTACGGGAATGCCCAAGGCTGTGTGTGTCTCCAACGAGATTCTCATCCAAGAGACGTCGTAAGAACATTGGCAATTCTTCATTGGGACGAGACCACTACTAACTCTGATCTTTACCAACTCCCAAACAGTTTTGTGAATGGCTACGATACCATCTTCATTTCGGCCAGTCTGGACTGGATCACGGGTCTGTGGGCCTCTATTTTCAGCACCGTGAATGGCTGCACCCGCATCATCAGCAGCAAGCCCTTCAGTCCCGATTACTTTGTGTATCTGGTGGAGAAGTACAAGATCACCTATGCCCTCATCCCGCCGGAGCACTTCTGCTCCCTGGCCGACTGCCCCGAGGCTACGCCCGAGGCTCTGGCCAGTTTGACCAAGTTTAACTTTGGTGGCGGACGCATGACTCAGGCCACGCTCCAGCGCATCCAGTCGTTGGCCAAGAACGCCATCTTCAACTCCGCCTACGGCATGACGGAGGTGGGCTTCATGGTCTTCAATCACGGCCATGCCAAGCTGACAGCCGCAGGCAATCCTTTGCCCAACATTCAGCTCCGCATTGTCGACGATGATGGCAACAATCTGGGGTACAACCAGACGGGCGAGATCTACGCCCACAATGGGTACTCGTGGAACGGCTACTACGGCGATCCGGAGGCCACTCGTGTAATGCAGGACGAAGATGGCTGGTTCCACACCGGGGACATGGGCTACTTTGACGAGGACGACTTCTTGTACATCACCGACCGCAAGAAGGAGGTACTCAAGTGGAAGGGACTCCAGTTCTGGCCCACCGAGGTGGAGAATGTCATCCTCGAGCTGCCGGAGGTTAAGCGCGTCTGTGTCGTGGGCATATATGATGAGACCCAGGGCGATGCTGGCGGGGCCCTGATCGTCAGGGAGACTGGCGCTAATATTACCGCTCAGCAAATCAAGGATCATGTGGCCAAACGTCTGCCGGACACTCAGAAGCAGCTCCGCGCCGGGGTACAGTTCGCTGACGAGATCCCACAGAACCATAACGGCAAGGCTGTGCGCCGCTACGCCCGCGATCTGTTCCTGGCCCTCTCCAAAAAGTGAACACTGCCGATGAATACTGTGGAATAATTTATACTACTATCCAATATATATTTGTTAAGTTAGAGGAATTACTGATGCATTTGATTGTGCTTTTCGAATGGTTTCTGGTTGTTAGTTGATGACACCTTTCGCTACTCAGAAAAGCTTTGAATTTAATTCGTATTGGATTTTATGCATTCCTCAAATAAAGAAAATTAATGAAAAATAAGCACAAATTTTTTTCATATTTTTCTTTGTTTCCTTGCGGTTATTTGGTACTCAAAAGTTATGACATTCAAGCATTGTTAATTGATTTGTTCTCCCGAACAAAAATTAATCGTTGGTCAAAGACCTCTTCAAATATTACCCAGAGAACCCCTCAAATACAATTCCCGACAACATTTGATTAACCCTGCCATCACATCAATTTCGTTATAAAAATATTATATGCCCATGCATTGAAGTGGGGTTATTCGGTGATAAATCAGCTGAAATTGTGTCGCTGCTTGTTTATGGCTAAACACTTTCTTTGGGCAAACAAAGAATTGCCATTTTGCGTCAAGAGATGGGACTGAGGGACCAGCCCCATGCCCATTCCATGGGCATAAAAAAATCATTTTATTTAGTCATAAAAATCGCACGCATAGCATTTTGCAGTGAGAAGTGGAGAAGCACCAGAGGTGGGAATAAATCTCTGGCGCCGTACAAAAAGAAGCTTTTCACGAAATTAAAGGTAAATAAAATGTTTATGAGTGGAGAGCAGTGAGAGCAGCATCATTCATATGATTTCACATTCGATTGAATAACATTTGCACACGCAAACGCCACGGAGGATTCGCAATTGGGGTCCTCCCAATGGCATGGCATGGCTTGGCATGGCATAGGAGCAGGCTACCCAAAGACGGGGCAATAAATTCAAACATGTGCACATAAATTTTTATTTCGATTTGCTGAGCCGCTGTCAGGCAGAGCTCTTCCTCTGTACGAGTATGGCCCAATCTCTGGACCCATTCCCATTCCCCATTCAATTTTATGAACTGTGAATATGCGCATGATGAAGTTGGCAAAGGATCTCGGCGGAAGTGAATCGTTCGGCATGCGGTTCAGGCCGTGTGCGTGTCGGTGCCTGTCACGGGGGAAGCCCCGGCATCGCAAATTATTGCATCTCCGTGTGGCAGGAGCCAGGAGAAAGGGGAAGGTACCAGCCGTTGGAGCAGGAGCAGGAGCAGGAGCAGGAACAGACAAAATTGTTGCTGTCTGTCAATTGACTTGTCATGTCTAGGAAAGGGAAATGGGGTTTGGGCTACGATCCTGCGTAAGTCAAATATCGGAAATGTCATTGCCTGATTGAAGACCTAGAAAATGCCGCGCTGCAGCAGCTCAATCATGCTTGAAATTTGTGCAACACATCAAATTGCTAGGGGAGAAATACCAAAAAAAAAGTCATGCCTCTTGTGAGAATTGAACTCACGGCCCCTGGTTTACAAGACCAGTGCTCTGCCACTGAGCTAAAGAGGCCCACATATCTCACCTGACCCCAAAGGCAACAAAAGCATCTATAGAGAGAGAGAGAAAGAGAGTTCAACCCATAGAAAGTTTCTGATGAATAGCAATCATAAACAACTGTTCAAACAGTTGTCAGCAGTTGTTCCGAAAGATACGAGTACGATACGGTATCTTTGAGGCAGGTACTCGTACTCGTACAACAAAAATGATTCGATTCATTTAAGCAATCACCCAATTGCGTTGGCTAATTAAAACTGTGGCCCATTCCCCAATTACCAGTTGAAGCTGCCAGGGATACAGCTTTCCATTTGGCCAGATGTATGCCTGTCTGTCTGTCTGACTGTCTGTCAGACAGTACTGGTTGCAGGTTCCTTGTGTCGGTAATTGATGGACTGATTCACTGAGGCAAATACTCCTGTTGAACTCTGTCACTCCGTATCTCTGTTTATTTGGCAAATTGGCAAATCAATTGCTTGAACTGAATAAGCTGCCACAGAGGCAGCAACAGCTATCTCTGATGATAGCGTCGCGTTCTCGCAGATCTCGAGTTGCCTTTGGATGAGCAGACACACACACAAATTGACTTTGGGTGCACCGCAAAAGTAATTGCCGAAAATGAATGAAATTAATGAAACGCAATGAAAATATGTGTGATCTGTGCCAACACATTTGTGGTGACAGATGCAGATGGAAATGAGATGCATTTTCATCTCACTTGAGGGGAATTTATTTGGCTTTGATGGTTGGGAAAGTTCTAACCAATTGTGGTAAAGCAATCTAGCTGCTATCTTAAATTGGTTCTACACTAAGCTACACGAAAATTTCCTTGTGCTTTCCCCGATTAAATCTACTTTGCTTTGGGCTATAACTCATTTAACTTTCAGCGCTTTAAGTCTGAATGCAAACACTTGCAGAGAAACTATTTTCAAGGAAGTTGGAGCCACTTATATAAGGCTGCAACACGTATACGCACCGCTGCGCTCGGCCAGAAGTGTAGCAGCCCCACTTAACTATTTCATTTCCCTGGAAGATTATCCGCCCAGCAGCATCCAGCATACTTAGCAAGTATTTATCGAGTTTTTCAATATTTTTTAATGTCACTTTAAATACTTGACGAGATTATTTTCCACTGATTTTGCTTTTGCATGTACACATATCTACATATACATATATATAGGTATATATGCAGCCCCCCTTTTCGAGGCCATACTTTTTTGATCTCGCGAAAAGCAAAGTTTCAAGTGCCAAACACACGCAAACTTTTTGCTCTGTTGCAGTTGCAGTGGCATGCAAGTTTGCTGCCACCGAGAGACATGAAACTTTTATAGAAGTTATTAAAAGTGCGACGAAATGAAGGGGCAATGGCAACCCCTTGCCAAGAGGCAGTCGCCCTCCTCCCATTCGGAGGTACGGTACCAAGTTTCAGCGCCAAAGAGTTGCGAGAGCAAGAGGGAGAAAGAGAGAAATGATTCATTTGGCGTTCAATAAATCTTCGCGTTGCTTTTTCCTCACCAAGGCAGATGGCCGAGTACCAGTTCTCCGGGTTCTTCTCTTCTCTGCTGCTCAGTTCTCCCCACGTCTTTCTCCACTTCTCAGTTTTCGCTTTGCTGCATCGGACGGACGCCTTAAATAATGACCATCATGGGCTGGACGCCGACGGCGCCAGTTTGTACATTGTTATCTAAGGACTAAGGGGATTTTATACGCAGGAGAGGACGAACGTATCCAAGGTGCAACCGGTCCCGGTCCCGGTCCCGGTCCTCATACCGATACCCCTTTTCCCCTTTACCCCCTTCAACCATTCATTATTCAAACGCATTAACAGAAGTTGTCCGGCCACGGCAGGACATTTTTTTGTGATATCCTTGACTTGGCATAACTTTGTCCAAAGTGGCCGCGGGACTGGGACTGTGAGTCCTGCTCCTGGAAAAAGTTTCCATGCTGCACTCGAACAATAACAGAGCCAAGTATTTAAATGCAAATTAGCCCCAAATGATGCAATCATAATGCAAGTGGCTCCAGGGCCAGAGGCAGACAGTGGCACTGCCAGGGATGTGGAATGGGATATGACTGGAAGACTATTCCCCTCTTTCCGGGGTTCCTTTTTAATTTCCACTTGCCCGGGCTCATTTAGCACAATTTGGCAGCTTCTCATAATTTCCACTTCACTCCTTTTTCTCGCTCAAATTAATTTCCACCTTTCCATTTTCTCCTTTTTCCCCCTGTTTTTGTTCCAGGATTTCTTTTCCTAGTTGTTAAACTGAGTTTTGTTGGGAGTTGGGAGGCCTCGTTATGAGAGCGGAAGATAAATGCATTTCAACACATGTTGTTGAAAGTTAATTTCCAAAAACGTTGCTCATTTATTGTTAAATGTGCATTTAGTTTTCTTTTCTCCTTCGCACTTCCTTCTTTGGTAATGCCTTTTTGATTCGGGCATTGGACTACAGCCTGATGCACTTTAAATAAGGCTAATGTCCGAAATTACTTAAATCTTAAAGCGTGCACAATTTGTGTAACAACTGCTAACTATTTCTGGCTGCTGCTACTGCTGCATTCGGGGCCAGAGCTCAGAGAGTACGAGCTCTAAGCATGGCCCACAAGTTGCAAATCGAATGGCCAACTCAGCCGCAAACACAATCAGCCAGCTCCCCAAATGAGCAACTTGAGAGTTCGGCTGGAGAACAAAGAAAACACACACACACCACCAGCAGAGACAGGGAGCAGAGACTCTGCTTCTGATTCTGGGGAAGGAGCAACTTTCGGTGTTATAATCTGTATCAAATTTAAGTGCTCTTGATATTGCTAATTAACACGGAGACCCAGCCACTCACACATGCCGAAAGTCGTTTGGTTGCTGCTCCTTGCATGCCCACCAAATGAAAGCCATTTAGAAAATTAGGAAAAAAAGATAGGAGTAAAGTTTGTGTGTTGTGTTGCGACTATAATATACCCAGTATCTATAAACGTAGAAATGATCCTTTCAGAGTAAAAAGAGCATGCATACTTCCTCATTAAATCAATATACCCACTTCACAAACAGTAGGGGGTATAATAACGAGCCACCAAAGAGTTTTTTGCTTGGTCAAAGAGTCAGAGTCAGAGACGGCAAGGAGAGATTGTAATTGTGATTGGGTTTGGTGTTTGGTGTTGGTGTTGGGACTGGCAGTATATTATTTTGCCAGCTGCTGGCGGATCACTTCTTGCGGATTCGGATTGCATTTGGATCTGTTCCAACGACTGCAAAGGGGCGTATGCGTGATATGTGCGACAAGAATGCTGGGAGAGCACTTTCGTGGAAACTTTGCCGATATCCACTGTCTGTTTTTGAGGCGGTTTCTGGCAGTGAATGCTTGAGAACACACTTTAAAGTCCATTAGCGTTGAGTGGCCACAAAAGCAGGAGCAGGGAGAACACTGACAAAGACTTGGATCCATATCAAACAAAGGCGAGTCACATTGCATATTTATTTATACAGATGTATTCGTATTTAGCAAAACTTATGCAATTGTACAATTGCTTCCGTTGACAAATTTCCAGTCATTGACATTTGGCACAAAATATGGCCAAAGGAATGATTGAAATTTCTATTCTGTTATTTGTGGTACTTTTGCGGTTGTCAAAATACAGAAAAAAGAAGGAGGGAGAGTGGGGAAAATCCTTCTCCCTTTTTTATTGCTGCTACTTTATTGAAGTTCTGCGGCAGCAGCAGCAGAAGCACAGAGATATTCCATGAAATATTGTAACTGCTGCAAATTATCGTACTTCGTTGCTAACATAAAACTTTTGCCTCCCCCAGACACAAAACTCTATGCAAATGGCTCAGACATTTGCAATGCATGCTGCTGCTCCTCCGATGGGACTGCGATTGCAAGACTAAAAATGGAATTTTAAGTCAAAGAATTTAAGGGAATCCAGAAGAATCTACAGCAATTAATGATGGCCATGTGGCCATGGAAACGAAATAAAAATGCTTTCAGCTTAATTCTATTGATTCGACGACCAATTGGACATCAGATCTATACAGATATACATGGTAAATAAGTAGCTCTGAGAAGGATTGGGAGGAAGGAACAATGGGTATAATCCCGGATATATTCGATAATTTCACATAATCTACAATCACGGACACATGAGAAGAGCAGGACGCCCGGAGGGCGACATCAGCAGCCACAACAATGGCAAAAGGCAATCAGCACTTGAGACAAGACAGCGGAATAAGACATTGGGAAGTCTGTGGTTCCCCTAGAATGATTTACTGGCTGACTGACTGCCCGACCGAAGACTGAGTGCGTAAATGAGTGGGAAACAGGGTGAAAGTGCAGGAGAAAAGGGTTCTCAACGAGACGTTGGCATTGGCCAAGAGAGTTTACTGGGTACAAAGTACAAAATACAGCAAAAATAAAAGAAAACTTTAGCCATTTCTTGCACAAACAGAACAAGAGAACTTTTAACATTTACTCGTACTGTGCTCGGTGTTCGGGGTTGTTGTAACAAAGTTACAAGTAGCATTTGAAACTTGTCCGGAGAGTGGGGATTGGATTGGGAGTTTCCTATTGCTGCTGCTGCTGCTGTTGTCCCCCATTGCGTATGAGTGATTTTTATTAGCTAGTCTCCCGTCAATGCGTGTTCCTTTATTTCTCTCTTCGTTTCAGCGACTCCTGTTTCCTGTGCCCTAGGGCCAGACGGAATTACTAGTATACGAGCCTGAAAAGCACAATTTTTCTCCACTTTTGGCCTCTGATTCGGCTGCTAATTCCCTGCTTTTTGGCCTTGGCTTTGTTCTTCTGTCGGTTTAGTGCCTGTTGACTATTGGCTCTTCGTTTTGTTGGCATGGACCTAATCAAATTAAATCACTTAATTGCATAAATTCGTCTCCAGGCTGGAGAGAAGAGAAAAAAGTTTTCATTTGAAAATTGTTCATTGATTGCAACGAAAGTTGTTTAGCAAGTTTCGTTGCTCACCCAACCTGAAATCAAAGTTTAGGCCGAAAACTGCACAAGAATCCGATCCGAGCATATCTCACCAATAAATAAAGTTGATATTTCTCTCAAAACAATTTTAATATAAATTTTGGGCTTTTCCCTAGTTTTCGCAGTTAATTAAAAAGCCGCCCGAAGGAAGCTCTCTTGACTGCCATAATTAAGCTGTCAGCCTAGATGCCCTGTCTCTCCAAATCTCACCTAACTGGAGCTGGAGCCCCGTCATAAGTCATAACTCATGTGGCCCCCAGCTCGGGGAATATTAGCTTGGAGATGTGCATATGACAAATCTGAAAAGTTTCTAGCCGGCACTTTGCCAGTGCACAGATTTCTTCTTGACTTTTTTTCTCTTTTTACATGGAAAAGTTTCGAAAGACTTAAAGGAAGTTCAGAGTTAAAGATATTTGACTTTGGCTTGGGCTTTAGCTGGTGAATATCCTTTCTGTTTGCTGCTCATTTTTGCCACAGCTAATTGTGCGGTGTCCCCAGTTCTATCCACTCCACTGCTGTGCAGTCCAGTGCTGTTCGTTCCAGAACTATGCATAAGAAATGCTGAGCCATTGAGCACACAAAGGAGTTGGTGGCATTGAGGCAGGGCAGGGACGGATAATGTCATAAATCACCATGGATATATGCATAAATTATCGCTTGAGCTCTGAGGGAGACACACCAGAGGGACCACCATAGGGAGCCGATGGATGAATGGAATGGACAGGGGTAGTGCTGGAAAAGTTAAAAAACAAAGCTCACGATAAACGAAGCGACATTTAAGGATTTAACGAGAAAAAATCGCTGTCACGAGGACGCATCGTTTTAATCAGTGGAAGACAGTCGTCGTCGTTGTCCTTCCTTGTACTCTCCTGGCACGTGCTCATGTCCAGTTGCCCCAGCTTCGGCTCCCAGCTCTTGTGTCCAGCTCCGGATCCCAACTCCAGCTCATAGCTCCCAGATTCTGCCACAGTGTTGTCTACATCTTCAACGTTTCTGAAATGGTAGCAATATTTTGTCAGGCCAAAGTCAACAGCCGGCGGCAGCAGACGAAAGACAGAAGACGGCAGGCAAGCAGGACCTGGAGACAAAGCCCCGGATGGCAAGGAGGAAATTTACATTGGCGCTGCAAAGTATGCAACGCATATTTTTACATCACTTCTGTTTGCCTTTCTCCCAGAGCCATTGCCATCGCGCCAGCCATCGCCATGGCCAGGGAAAGAGAGAGTTTTATACATTTAAATGTATTTATTTTTCACCAGTAGCTGGGCCCGAGGCGGAGCCATAGCCAAAACCCAGAGCCACAGGCAGCAATATGCATGCACGACAAGGTACTGGCGCAAAAAGGATATATAAAAGACAGACAAGAAGTTGGTCTTGTGTCCTTAAATTATTATATTGATCGCTGATGGGGAGAGCAAGAGTTAATCTGATAATCAAGTGGGAATTTATTTGGTTTACTGAATATTTTGTGTGCAAGATGGAACCTTGCAGGAACGTTTCTAGATGAATTTATCAATGAATTTATCCAGAGTCTGTTTAGTAGCTTAAATTAAAGCAGTGATTGCACATGAAGCAGAAGAGTAAACCTCACATGAAGCTATGAATTAATTGGTATTATCTGAAATATATTTCCCCCAACACAGGAGGAATCCACGCCAGTGTTTTAATCTTTAAAATGTTTAAGACTAGGAATGGTACTAAAACTATTATTTCTCAAATTAGGATAAAGGGAGAGACATAATTTCAGATAAAATAGCAATAATATTTCAGCAGCCAACAGAAGACAGACAGTAAGTAAACTCGATTGAATAATTTTTGCATTTTGCTGACTGAAATAGGGTCAAAATATAGACCGATAGAAAGAGGCAAAATTCCATTTGATATTCTCGGTAAGCCTGGTAATTTATTTGAGATTTATGTGGATTCTTAACTAAAATTTATTTGAACAGGGTAAGAAAAGGGAATTGAGAAACTCTGAGATACCCAAAAACCAATCCTATATGCAATTATCGGTGAATTTAGGGAGCTTGTCGATTGTAACTCCAAGCACGCCAATTATCTGTTGAGAAGCGAAAATTCCTGTGCGGATGCAGTAGTCGAGAGGCATTTTTTGCACCAGCTGCGAGAGAAAACCCCCTACAAAGGCATCGCCGCAGCCATTGGTGTCCACTACCTTCTTTTTGTCCACCTTCGGCACGGGGTACTCGAGGATCCTTTCGTTTTCCTGGAAACAAAGCACTGGACACACGGCATCCGTGACCATGACCATACGCGGCCTGCCATTGTCCTTGGGCAAGCTCTGCATTTGCTTCCCTATCTCGAAGATATTCTTAGTATTCCACAAGTGGGTTTCCGCAAAGGCAAGGATTTCCTCCTTGTTTCCAATGACAATGTCCACATAGGGCATTATGTTATCCAGCTGCTCCTTCTGCATCTCCAGCACGAAAACGGCGCTCAGGTTGAGGATTAAGGTGCGATTCGTCTCGCTGGAGAGCTTGGCCATACGGAACACGGTGTCGGGACTGACGGCTAAGAAGAAGCCCGTAACGTAGAAGTAAGAGGCGCAGTCCACCACACAGCAGTTCTCTTCTTCGTCCATCCAGTCCTCGGTAAAGAGGGCCGCCGCCCCCAGATTGGCCACCAGGGATCGGTTCTGACCACTGACAATCACCGCACATGTGCCTACAGTTAATAACCCCATAAAGATCAGGGGAAGAGGTTATGTACTGGATAAACCATACCTGTCGGTAGCTCTTCCTTCACTTGGTAGTGGGTCTCCACGCCATCCGCCCTCGCTCTCTTCACTATCCGATCGGCAAACTTGTCCTTGCCCACCGCTCCAAAGAAGGCGCACCTATTGGGAGGCCCCACGATCCACTGGAAGACCCGCAAAGAGTTCTGGCAGGCTCCTCCGGCCGAGTACTGGACATTGTCCATATTGTCCAGCTCTTCGAACAGGTTCTCATGTTTCTCATCGGCAATGATGGCCGCATTCGCCTCCAGTCCGTACTTCTCCAAGAGCATGTTGTCCTCTATCACGGTTGTGATGTCCAGCAGGGGATTACCGAAGCCAACAAGAATGACCTCTGGCAACTCCATCTTTTTGGAAGCCCTTGAAGATAAATTCCTTTTTTCAAGTGCAGATCGAAAGCAACCTGTTTTCCGCGAGTACCAGGTCAAATTGGCTGGGAATCCTTGGATGCTGATAAACGTGGCTCTTCTCCACAGTGGAGCAGATTTTAGGGTTCGGTGTAAAAGCTGTCTTGATTGCCTCAGCATATCCCAGGTTTCTCACAATAAATTCCCCAAACTCATGTGACTTTCATGTTTGAAAATATACAATTTTTGATGGGATTTGTAAAGGTGATGAGTGGAAAAGAGGGGGTGAGTCCCCCTTTTATATGCTGAGAGAAGGTATTCGTAAAATATATTTCCCACTTGCTCAAAATGTTAATTACCTGCATAAATCAATCACGACAATTAATATTGCTGTGGCACAATTTAATGTGCCATTAATTACGTATCCATCTTGTCCGGGGAAGAATGTATAATTGCTCTGCAATTACGAGTGGGGTGGCGCCTGCCGCCGAGGCTGTAGGCCAGGGGCTGAGAGGGAGTTTTATTTTCATTTTCCAGCCGGAGATGAATTGAATGTAAGTGGGCTTGACAAGCCAGTAGTACGAGTAGCAGCAGAAGCAGCAACAGAATGAGGAGAAGGGGAAAAAGCTGGGATATTCAGCCACCCAGAACGTGAATGTCCTTCCGCCGCCAAAAAACATCATCAGCGTGGGGGAGGCCTGTTTGGCGGAGGAATGAAAAAACAATGGCATTTGCAGTGCTTTGCCCAAGTTGCCTGGCATAAATTTTAATTTTTATGCAACACAAAAGCTGCAGCAGAAGCAGAAGCTGCCGCCTCGCGTTGATGCCGCACAAAAATAAAAAGGAAATATATTAAAGCTATATATATGCGACTGGTAGATACTCTACTCGAAGAGTCACTGACCTAAATCATTTGTAGACATTTTTCATTATAGCTTAGTTTCTAAATGGATTTTTTCGCCATTTTGATATGGGTCATATATCCTCCTATGAGGGTATCATATGCAGTGGGTATTTCCTCCGTCAGTTAGGTTTAAGGGGTGTGGTGAGGCGGAGCCATTGCCAGCGTCGTTTATTGCTCGCGAGCGCCGCAAAGTATGCAAGCGGTTTTTCACTTTGCTGCTGCTGTTGTTATTCTTGTTGGCATTGTGATTGTGCTCACTGTAGTTGTTGTTCACTGTAGTTGTAGTTGCTGATGCTGCTGTGCTCTGGGTAAGTACTTACTTATGTGCCAGGGCATTATTCTTGGCTATATTCCTTTGCTAAACCGCTGCTGCTGCTGCTTTTTCCGACACCATTGGAAGGAGGTGCCGTGCCGGCGCCCCATCCACAGCCCCAGTTCCAGCTTCAGTTGCAGGCAAATGAGTGGTGCCGGGATGTAGGGCGCAGGGGCCACCACAGCGGTGACGTGGCAATGCAGCTGCATAATGTGGCATGCGGTTTGCATTAAAAATGATATTGCAACACGAGCCGCACATCTGCAGCTGGGTGCAGCTAGGTGCAGAGGCAGTAGCGGCAGTAGCGGCAGCCAGCAGTGGCAGGCAGTCACTGACAGCCGCATGGCAATTATAATCCACACAACCACACACGCACACATGCACACACGCACACGCGCACACTTTCTCTTACACTCACACCCCATCGGCTTAAGTCTGTTAACAGGATGAGTAGGAGGATAGAGGGAAAATCTGTAGCTGGAGGAGCAGCAGGAGCAGTAGAAGCAGCAGCAGCTGCCAGTGACACACACATCACACATGACACCCTGTCGCCCTGACAAAGCTTAGCCGCCTGCTCCACTGAAAGATGCCACCGCAAGTCCTATCCAACCTCAGTCCAACGCAGCATACCCCATCCTGTACATCATTTTCCACACACCCAAACACATTTACACGCTCCGTGTAGTTCTTTTCGGGGAGCATAATGGTAGAAAGGTAGAGGATGTCCGTTTCCTTTTTCGCCGGGGACTCACGTTGTTATCTAACAAGCTTTTTATGTGATTACCTTTTGCCTTCTGTTAGTTTTACTATAATTTGGCCTTTACTCTTAACGAGATTGTTGTAAGAATCTCACACAGCCAGCAAGCGAGACAGGAAGACAAGGGGACAGGGCGAGCAGCAGCTTGAGTTAACAAGAATAAGGAAACCGAGACTTGCCGTAGGATGGGATATCCTGGCAGATGACCAGGCACTGCATACAAGCCTGTCACGCAGTGTCCTGCTCACCATTGTAGTGCATTGTTCGGTTGTGCCTATCCTGGTACTTAGCTCTGGACAATGGCTCAAAAGTTGGAATAATACTCGTACTCGTACTCGTATGAATGGGACTACACGTCGAAGTTAGCTTAGGTGGTTGTCAAGCGATAATCCCCTTCCACAGCTCAGTAGTCAGTCGTGCGTTTTGTGAGATATATTTGATATACGTAGAAGAGGTAAGTTAACTCTGCGGAAACCTTCATATCTATGTCCATACAGTCGATCCTCAATCAGGCTAGTATGCGCAGCAACAGGAACACCGTGGCCAGGATGAGCAGAACGATGTTAATGAAATAGCGATAGACAATCAGGGAATGAAACATCGCTTCATGGCTACTGGCTGCCGATGGACGTTATCTGCAGACTCAGATGAAAGCGGTTGAGGCAAGGCAGGGCCTGGGCTCCTTGATTTCACATTTTGTAATTATTGTGTGACTTAAATTCCACAGCCTCTGTGTTTATGTATTCATTGAAGTATTATTGTTCTCTGAGAACTGAAACAAACTGAAGAAGAACGTCAAGATATCTACACATCTAGGCTTAGACAGGCACTACATATATCATATGAAAATAACTTCAAAAAAATTCTAGAGCGAAATTAAATTTTTTAATAATATAGTAGTTTGGATTGCTATCGACTATGTCGGGTCGTGCTCCTTTTATCAAGCCCGTTTTGGAGTACAACGAGCACGGATGGGGTCCATGCGAGGAGCTCAGCGTGGATGTGCCCTACCAGCCCTTCTGCAAGAGTGATCGCGTGGGCAAGATCTCCGATTGGACCGCGCCGCCGACGGAGAGGAAGTTTGCAAACAAGTACGTCTCGTCATTTGGTAATAGCAATCAATATGCCTACTTTCACGAGGACGACGAGTCCACGTATCATTTGGTGGACACCTCGGGATTCAAGGGCTTCAGGCCGTTCCAGCGGGGTCGGTTCCGTGGCAATATACGCAACAATCCCCGGACGCGGGGACGCACTGGACGTGGCGGTGCCGTGACTGGAATAGGTGGAAATCAGCCCGGAGTTGGAGTTAATGAGCGTACCAAGTACGGAAAGGGTCGCGACAACCGCCGTCAAATGGGGCGTCGGTTCGGTCGGAATGCTCCCACTCGGATGCGAGAGAGCTCCGTGGTGGTCCGCTCCGACTGGGTGTCCATTGAGGAGATCGACTTTCCTCGTCTTCTAAAGTTATCGCTGCCGAATGTGAAAGAGGGCCAGGATGTGGTTACCTGTGGGTCTCTGGAGTACTACGACAAGACATATGATCGAATTAACGTGAAGAACGAGCGGCCTCTGCTCAAGACGGACCGCATAATTCACACGTTGACCACCACAGATGATCCCGTGATCCGCCGCCTGTCCAAGACCATTGGCAACATCTTTGCCACCGATGAGATACTGGCCACCATCATGTGCTGCACTCGCTCTAACTACTCCTGGGATGTAGTCTTCGACAAGGTTGGCAACAAGATATTTCTAGACAAACGCGACAACGCCCAGTTCGATTTACTGACGGTGAACGAGACAGCCTTGGAGCCCCCTCTGGATGAGGAGGGTTCCATCAATTCACCACACAGCCTGGCCATGGAGGCCACCCTCATCAATCACAACTTCTGCCAGCAGGTTCTCCGTGGGGGCGATCAGAAGAAGTACCAGTTTGAGGAGCCTTATCCCTTGGAGGAGTCCGGGGTGGATCTCGTCTCGATCGGCTACCGGTACAAGCAGTGGGATCTGGGGAATAATATCATATTGATTGCCCGTTGCAAGCACAATGGCGTTCTTCAGGGTCCTAATGGAGAGGTGCAGTTCCTGTCTATTCGCGCCCTCAATGAATGGGACTCCAAGGCGTCCAACAGCCTGGAGTGGCGGCAGAAGTTGGACACCCAGCATGGTGCTGTGTTGGCCTCAGAGCTGCGTAACAATGCCTGCAAGCTGGCCCGCTGGACCGTCGAGTCTGTCCTCTCCGGCTCGGATCAGCTGAAACTAGGCTACGTGTCCCGTGTGATCCCACGCGATCATCTGCGCCATGTCATTCTGCGCACACAGCAGTTCAAGCCTCAGGAGTTCTCTACTCAAATCAATCTGAGCATGGACAATGCCTGGGGCATCTTGCGCTGCCTCATCGACATCGTGATGAAGCAGCCCGATGGGAAGTACCTGCTGATGAAGGATCCCAACAAGCCCATGGTGCGGCTGTATGATGTCCCAGAGAACGCATTCGAGTCGAGTGATGAGGATGACCTCAGTGACGACAAGCTTTTTCTGCTGTCCAATTGATAACTAATCGCTTACACATATTCATTTGCTTTCGAACAGATATTGAACACGATCCGTTGACACTCGACACATGCTGGATGCCACACTGACGTCTGCACTATATGCCCAGCACAAATACAATTTAAATTGAGTTTTTGAACAGATACACATGAGCGAGAGCAGGAGCAGGAGCAGGAGCAGGAGCTGGAAAAGCCATCACACATGTGACTGAATGTCCGCCGATTCCCCCGGCTTCCAATCGGAGTTATTTGATGATAACATGGCCACATCAATCACTGCGGTTCTCCTCTCCCCAATGGAAATACTCGTACAAAATGAAACCCCAGCTAAATAAATATGCATTGTGTGTTGCTAGCCCCGACGCCCCTCCTATTACTGACTGACAATCACAATAATTGAACAGGAGAGGAGACAAACCTCAGGTTCAATAAATCACCAAAAACAGCATCAATCAATGAAAATGCCGCGTGAGGCAATTGAAGCAAAAATATTTCCATGTTCAACAGAATTTAATTAAATATATATATTTAAATTTTACATTCCCTTATTGTATTTCAGTTTTTTCCCCAGGCTGGCTTTAGGGCAATTCAATTTTTGTTCATTCAGTGAGCACAAAAGTGGAGAAATTACTCCCCAGTGGAAATGCAAATCGCTCAACTAAATTACCAAAAATGAATTGTTTTTGGTTCGTTTTGGCCATATTCCATAGACAGTCAAGTTTTTTGTGTTTGCTTATATAGTGTTTTGTTGCATAGCAAATTGAATTTAGCCCTATTCAATTTGCATGGCTGGATTCACACTCACTGGAAAAGGCACAGAGGCGAAAGTGAAAATATTTGGCACATTTACCGCAAATGAAATATTGTTGCAGATTGTTGCGGTGGCTGGAATTGATTGATGAACTCCTCGTATCAATAAATTATTAATTTATTTTATAAGCTTCCACGCCACGTAGCGGCGTAACAGTAGACATTCTGCCACATCAAGTATACGTAGTACGTACGTACGTTGAAGGGGTGCTAGTACAACTTTTCCAGTATGCTGCAATGAAACACCAAAGTGTTATTCAATTAAAACATTTTGTTTGCTAAATCAACATAAATGAGTCAGTGTATGAGTGTGGGGATATGGATGTACGCCTGTTTGTGCAGTGAGGATGCAGGACCAACTTACAGAATGACTTTTGCGGAATGGTTTTTTAAAGCGTTTTGCCGCAGAAAAGTTTGCTTTGGCTGGTTAGCTGCTCGAGTGGCTTCGGCTTCGGCTTCTGGCCAGGACTGCTGGGGCAGGGCAGGGCAGGGCAGGGTGTGTGTGTATGTAGGGGGGACTTGGCATTTCAAGGTCTGCGCTTGGCTAACCACGCCGTTGAAAGGCGTTTAACAAACTGCCATAGAAGGCCAGCACAGAACAGAACAGTGCAGGGCAGGGCAGGGCAGGGCACGGGCACGGGCACTTGCCAGCGGCAACAACTCCAAAGCTCTGCTCAAGTGGTGGGGCCTTAACGCAAAACTTTGTACATTTTATCGCATATGCAGGGCTGCGGGCTATGCCAGTGCCAGGGGCTACAGAGTATACAGAGTACTCTAGTAGTGAAAAACTCTACCGTAGGGGAGCTGTAGGGGATCCGTAGGGGAGCTGGAGCTGAAGCTGTTGAGCCGACCAAGGCATTTGCATATGCAACCGCAAACACCGCCCGAGCAAAAAGTTAAGCGTTGAATGAGGGCGACAAATTGCAAATTAAACTCTTTTCTACACACATGAGGAATAGTTGTAAATAAAACTGCCACACCCACATCAACTTTCTGCGAACAACCTCTAACTAAAATTCAATTTCATTTCAATTTGCCAAACGCTAAAGAGGATGGTGATGACGATGAGGACGATGAGGATTGAGGATTGAGGATGGCGATGGGGATGGGGATGGGGAGCCGTCTGATCCGCATTAGGAAACCAAATCCGACTTAAAGTTACCCTTGGCCCGCGGCCTCTTGAGTCGTTTAAGCAACGAACGCAACAAATTTGCCTTCTCTGGACATTAGTTCAGCGCCGAAGAATTTAGGAATGTTTGCAGGCAAAAAGTTTTCTGATTCTGGCTCCAATTTCTGATTTCGCCCTGCCTTTTGGCATATTTAATTTGGCGTCTTGTGTCAGTTGTTCTTTCTTTCTTGTTTTTTTGAAGAGATGCCTCTGTCAATTTTGTGACACTTGCTTCGGGGTCCGTTCACGTTCACCGGCAACTTTTCAAATGCAGCTCATTTAAATATAATTTGTCAGGGAAAAGTTTTTCCACGAGTCGGTTAATCGAGGGACCCAGAGCCGGCACGCAGGCAATGGGAAGAGATTTTAGGGATAAAACCTTTGGATAATATTTAAAACTAGGCAACACTCTCCAAGCGTCATAATCGAAGAAAAAATCATATAAATATAATAGTTTAACTTATTTTAACTCTTCTCCAATCAACTGATTCCTATCCTTCTTTAGAAAAGAATACGTAGAATATTTTCACCTCAAAGATTCAACTCTTGACTTTGTACAACCTTGCTTCCTTTTCGCTAATGCAAATTTGTCGAAATTTGTTCGCTCATTTTTCGCTATTTAATATATTCAAATTAGAGTTTTCCCATTTCATTCGCACGACTAGACGAGAAGGGAGCGGTGGCAGGGCAGTGACAAAGGATGGTAGATCCCACCGAAATGGGAGTTGTTATCAAAGCCCCCACCGACTGGAACAACAGGCAACAAATTCCGTCACCGTCACCTAACAAATCTGCAACAATAGTGATAATTTTTTCCACTTCTTCAGCTCGTCCCACCGTCGGGTTTTCGGTTTCCGGCAGAAGTTTTTGCAAACATTTTGACAAAGTTCTCCTCTGCTCTTCTTTTTTTTTTGGGGTATTTGAGCTGAAACTTTTCTCTGGTGGCAGGGAATGAGAATAATGTTGAAAATTATGCAGATGCAATGAGGGGGAATATGAAACCAGGCAATATGGAGCAGCGACCAGGGTACAGGGGTACAGCGGAACAGGGGAACAGGGTACATGGACTGTGCACATAATTCGATGAAATGAATTGGTTGCAGCTGCCTCCGTGCTAGATGAGGCACGGCACAGTGTTAACTGACAATCCCGCGCAATGATTGCATAAAAAAGTTCTCAGCTTTCGGCTGAGGGATCCCGCAGAATTATCACCCAGCCGGGTGCCATAGCGGAAATCATTTTTCCTCTTCCTGTGTGGCATAGGGAGCATTCCCCCAATGCAGTTCTCAGCTCTCAGTTCTCAGTTTTCTGCCCTTCCTGTTCAGCCGCAAAAAAGTGAATATTTTTCATGGCTCCAGCTTCTGCCTCAGGAGCTTGCTCCTGCTCTAGCGACTGCTCCATCTCCTGACCAGCTGCGGCTATGGAGCAACTTCTGTTTTACACATTTCTAATTCATTTCCTGCCGCCGAATGCCTGTCTGGGGCCGTGTCTGGCTCCAGGCCCGGGTGGTCCTGGTTCAGAGTAACAAATCTCGAATGAAATTCATTGAATACTTGTCAAAAATATTCCAATAGCCCTCGTAATTGGATTCTTTCCCATCGCAAATCCACCATCCTCCATCGTTGTCATTCTCCTTTCAGGGCACATGTGCACTTTTGCACTTTTGAATAATTCTGCGTAGATTCGGATTTATCCTGGAATGGAATAAGGGCTCGAGTGCACTTGGCTTTGGGGAATACTTAAATTATGTTGAAATTCCGCTGTTTAACTTTAAAGTTGTAACCACGAAAGATGTGTTCAATGAAGCCTTGATTTGGAGTACGTTTTTGTTATGCAAATAACTTTGAAGATCAAAGGCAAAACACTATAGCAGACAGTGATTATTCCAGGCAGGTTTCACTTTAAATGAAAATACAAAAAAACACATCAGAAAAGAGGGTGTAAGACGGTACAGGTGAGACCCAGATGTGGTTAAACTTTTCTTGAGGAAAATGGTCGGGGCAACAAAGTAAATCAACAAGTTGGATCAACTTCTCTGTCGAGGCAGACACCGATGGAATATTTTAAGCTCGACGAGCTCTTAAATGCTTTAAGTTTTCAACATAAATATCAAGTTTACGCAACGGATGCCCCTCTCACATAAGAATAAGGTTCTGGTGAAAACCAAATCCAGAAAAACGAAAGCGAATAAAAAAGAAATGAAAACACACAACAAAGTTGGTTTACTTTCTGCTCGTTTCAGTTCTTTTGTACATTTCGCCACAAGCATGGAAATCGATTACCTGTACGAAATGGAAAATATTCTTACATGTGCACGTTAAGTATATACTCGTACAGGTATACATATGTATCTCTGTGTAGGGTTTACCTCGGAGAAGAGCGGAAGAGCAGACTTTGCATAAACGAATTGTAAATACAGCAAAGGGAAAACATTGAAATTATGCCAAATGCGTTTTCCAATTTCTAATTCGGCATTGATTTTCGATTTCTTTGTGAAGTGGAGCCCAGCCCTGCGGAGATCTCGTCGTCGATTCCTATTTCAAGTGGCAATTTGCTAGGAATTTGTTCGATTGAAACTCCTTCGGTTGCTCCCCCTATCCCTTCAGCGGATGACGCTGATGCAACAAGGAAAGTCTAAGTCTTTTGTCCATTTGCTTGCCGGCATTGTTTTTTATTTTATTTGCAACAAATTGGGTTTTATCTATCCAATGTCAGATGCATAAAGAGAGAAGCAGCAGAATCAGAAGTAGGAGGAGTAGGATAGCCGAGGGACAGCTGATGCTCCACTGATGACAATAGTGTCCTTGCCCCCTCCTAGGAAAAGTTTCGCACAAAATTAAATTCCTTTTGCTACTCCTCAATAAACTCGCATTGTTGAATGGACATCATCGAAATTTCCATCACTCACACTCCCCCAAAAATGACCAAACAAAAGGCATCAGGACGTTGGTCAGCATGTGCGATGAGTTCTCTGGTTCTCTCTTATACTCCGGGCTGCTGCCAACGGGCCCCGGGCTCTCTTGCACACTCAATCACAATCCGAGTGTCCTGGCAAGTGGCAAGGAAAAGATCAAGTGCCACACTTGTTGGCGTCACAAAAAAAAAGAGAAACAAGGCGAAGCGAAAGATTATTTTGATGAGGTTAGCAAGTGGTAGAGTTCCTGAAAGATGAGTCAAATAATCGTTTTAGTGGGAAACAGTTGAAGTGGCATTTCGATGATTCCATAGCATCTGCTATGCTACTGTTGGTACTGTAACTTTGTAAGCCTCAGGGTCATAGGTCCTATATAGTCGGCCATTCGGATCTTTTAATATATGAACTTAAACGGAGAGAAATCCAATTATAAGGAGGTTTTCTTAACTTTATAATTGTCTTACCCCAATGATCTGTAATTGAGATGATAGTTTGGCACATATATGATTTTATCAACAATTTTTATCAATACCAAATAGCAAAAACTCACTCTGCCTCTTCGCTAGTCCCAACAGAACAAAGGAAAATAAAAAAATTAAACTAAAAATCGTCATCGTTTAACGTTGAAATGTATGAATAAAATGAACAAATATGTAGGCTAAAAAGAGAACTAGAACAATTGAAAAATTAGTCATGGAAAAGTAACAATTTCATGGCTTGAGCAATAGCTTTTCCTCCTACTCGAAATTACTGTCCTTCAGTCAGACGCCTCATAAGTCTTCGAAAATTACCAAAGATAAAAACCAAAAAACAGAAACATTATGATTACGATCTTTTGAAATAAAACAAAATGGTGTTCCCTCTAATAAAATATGGGGTTTGTACAGAAGACAATCAACATTTGTGATTAGTAAAAAATGTTTAAAAATTATCATAAAAAGAGGGAACCAACTTATTGACCGCTCTAAAGTTCCTGCTGTGGAAAGTCCGGCCCTCAGGTCCATAAAATATATCTCATGCTCTGACTGCCATCTAACGAATATATCATCTTTAATGTGTCTGACTTTCCACGTTGTTTGTTCCTTGTCCGTTTTTTTTTTTTTTTTGTGGGGGCAGAAGGAGGCTGCTGCATTTTTAGTTTCTCTTCGTATGTACTTGTCCCTTTTTGTGTGTGTTTTCGTGGCCCTCGTCCTTTCTGCGCTACTTACTTCCGCACTTTAATGTGGCTCCATAAACTCTCCTTTACGGCGGCTCCCCCATCTCCGAGCCGAACAGAAAAAACCAAATGTTTTCCTGTCGTTGGCTCCAATGTTCCTCCTTTAATAGCTGCTTTTCCAAGTATTCTGCGTATTTGTGTACGTGTGTCAAGTGTGGCAGGCATTTAATGAGCTGATTTGAATTAAATTTTATGTGGTTAAGCGCATTAGGAGCAGCAAAAACTCATTTCAAGTGGCCAACACGAATTGGGTCAACACTCCCCGCTCCAGGTTGTTCCCCCACTTGACACACATCCATTTCAAGATGTTCTCTACTCCCCAGAATCACACATCTGTGAAATATACATACATATGTGCTATGTGAACGTATGAACAAATTTTATTGCTAATCAGTGGCACAAATTTAATTTTCTCCACACATTTGGCTGGGATCTGCATTGTGTGGATTCCAGTTCAACTTCTTTTCTTGTCATTGGCTTGTCATCAGAATGAAACATGACATTTGCCTAATTTGAATTTAAATACCTTCCATGGAGCCGGACAAACAGCGAGAAAAACAGCAGCACTGACAGCTGGAAAAACTGAACAAATCTGACACACAAACAGCGGAACAGAGCAGGAGGACGACAGAGGTCGAGGTCTGGTTCTGGTTCTGAACTGAAAAAAGAGAAAATCAAGCGGCAAAATAGCTGAACAACATGTCAGTGGCGGCAGTAGGAGTTGGAGTGGTAGCGGGAGGTAGGTCAGCAGTGGGTCAGCGGGTGTGTGTGCTCCATTGTGGCGCCCATCACCTGATGGTTCACTAAATAAGAAATTATTATGAGCATGCAGCGTTTGGCTCCGCTGCCCGTTGCCGCAGCAGCCGTTGTCGTAATCACATACACACACGAACCACCGTCTCCCCCCAGCCCTTTGCCATGTTTAACTTCCGGTGGAATTCGCACACACAAACACACATAGATGAACAGGATACGCGCACAAGAACACACAAACATACACTTATATGCACATGATGGTCAAATTTCATAAACAGACAACAACAAGAGGAGCAGAGCTCCGCAGAAGTACACCTACAGGATGCTCATTAATTGATGTTTAGATGAATAAATTATTTTATATATTGTATTTTTTAAGTTTATGCATGCTTGGCCATCTTTCGATACCATTTTTGAAAGATTACAAATATTCAAATATCTTTAAAGCTTACTTGCTTAATTTTACGAAAATTTAAATTTTAATGATTTTTATATAGGAGAACATTCTTGAGAGTCCTGAGATTAATTGGTTCTATATATTGTAGGTCCCATAATCATAAGTCAAAATCAAGATTTAGAATATTTTTGATCCATTTAATAGGCTCTTACTTCCCTTTCATACCCTGTTTTTCTCTGTAAAAACTTTGGTGTGCCAAAACACGAAAGAGGAAGTTGACCGCTCGCCTCCATATGCCCTGTAGTCTGTCTGTCTGTGTCTGCCCCATGCCCCATGCCTCTGCATCTGTAACCCCTCCCCACCGCTCTATGTCGGTGTAACTTAATGTATCCTGGATTTATTGTGCTGTTTCCTTGTAGCCTGCTGCCGTGAATTAAATGTACATAAACTTTTTTTGCCAGGCCTCCTGTGTTTTTCTATACAGAAGAACTCGTACTTTTTTCCACCGATGGTGGTGTAGCTGTTTTGGATGCTGCAGCTTGTGGGGGCATGAGTTGGCTTCCGTTTGGTCTTGAAACCTGCAACAAAAAGAGAGGAAGAGTGGAAAATAAACATGGAAAAAGCTGCACACATGTGCACATGTGCATATCCTCTGGCTGCATTTTTGCAATTTACAGCAGGAAAAAGACGTCGCCCGCCTCTGACATTATTATGCGGCGACGACGACGACGACGATGAGGAACAGCGGCGACTTTTGCCCTTTGGCCATGCGTTTCCGGAGCCGGGACTCAACCCCGAACCCGAACCCGGAGCCAAGCCCCATGCCACTCCACCTCGACTGATGTTGCAATGTTCCGCCCGGAGCTACCTAGAGCGTTTTGCAGCAGCAAAAGTGACACAAAGAGTCTTAAACTTTGTTCTCTCTCTCTCTCGGTTCCTGTCGCTCTGCCTCCATCTCTGACTCTGTGGCATCCTGCCTGCCCCCGAGTGCATCTGTGTCTGATTGTATTTTGTAATACAAAACTTTTTACCCAACCAAACAATGCAAGTCCGGAATGGGGGGAGGCATCCTGGGGGCTACGATTGGGCCTTGGCAATGGCTGTGTCACACAGGGCGGATGATTGCTCATGTTCCCTGGCACTTGTTTCGCATTTACAGAGTAATAAACATCCCGGAAAGGCTGACTGGGTGTTTGGGTCATAGTTTATGAAATCCATTTCATTGGAGGGTCAGCAATAGAGGGAAGAGAGAGGTTGGGCTTAAGCTGGGGTTCATTAAGTTCAATGAAAATCCGTGGCAAGTCTCGCAAATCAATTGGAAATGTGGCTATTGAGAGAACAATAATTGTATACCCTTTTTGGGGGTATTACGAGGATGATTGTGATAAGATCGATATACCCATGTCCATCAGTTTTATTCCATTGAAACTAGTCACAGGTCCAGAGATCAATATTTTAAGTGCAGGCAGTATATCTTCACTATATTATATATATAAACGATTCAAGGGTGTCTAAAGTCTCGACCCCAAAAACTATTTACTTTATCCTCTTTTTATTTCAATTTCAGTTGCAAGTGCGATGCCGCACTTGCCATCTGGAAAGCGGTGATGGGTTTTGGCTGCGGCCCCTTGTGGAACATGGGCAGATGATGGTTGGCCGCTGCTCCTTGTTGAAGGGAGGTGGTATTGGATGGTGGACGGGTGCGGCTCTGATAAGAGTTAAGGGAATCGTTTTATCGCATAAACGACCACATTACACGCTGCATTGAGGAGCAGCTAAATGACCGCAATGAAACACACACCTACCAGGGGGGATGGGGGCTTGTAGCCCATCGCCATCCGACCACCCCTTTAGGCCTGCCCCAAACTGCCCCCGCCACTCTCTGTGGCATGCTTGGCTTGGCAACATTCAGAGCAATTTGTGTGTGTGGATGTGTGTCGAAGTCTGCTCGAAAGCAAAGTTTACTTTCGCTTTAAGTAGTAAGGCAGCGTTACGGGATGTGGAGTGAGCTGGAGGCAGAGTGCGGCACGAAGAAGTGGCAACAGGAGGTAGCGGCACAAGAGGGGAGGCAACTGCGAGGCCAGCAATGAGCAGCATTCCATGGCATGTCGACAAAGGCATCCCAAATGCACACACAGGCATCCAAGTGCAAGTGCACACCCACATTCTCTCAATCCACCCCCAGCCCAGCCCCACAAAGAACAGGCACAGTGGTGCATGGTGAAGCAATCAATATTTCAGAAAAAAGATGTTAATAACTCTATTGAAAACAGTTAATGCTCACAGAAATTGCTTCCAATTACAGCAATTAGGGATATCTGGGATATGTTTTTACAACGACTCATCGCACAAGGTTTCGCTACTTTTTGCATTGGTCTTAGCCACTGTGCCCCACCGGATACGGCTTGCTTGATGGGTACTCCAACTGTTTGCATTATGAGCAGTGAGCTGTTCGTCCAGCATCAGCAGCAGAAGCAGATTCCACATCGCCTCTACAGCGCGGCAGTGGCTCGATCATCAGTTGGCCCCCTGGCAAATACAAGCAAATTGAGCTGGTCATCCTAAGCTCAGCCCAGCTCCTGCCCCCTATTGAAGAATCAGCATCCCCCGTCTCTGTCTCTGTCTTTGTATGTGCAACTGTCAATACTGGCAATGAGTGAAATGGAATTTGTCTTGCTTGCTGGTGACGGGCTCGAGAGGCGCTCGGCAATTTGTTGCATGCGACCTCAGAGTCCAGTACTTTTTCCAATTCCTTTTCCTGAATTTTCTTTCTTGCCCAGTCATCAATTGTAGCTGTCTTTGGCTCGTGTAATAGTTTCAAATCACTTTCCAATCTGCTAGCCCTACCCTCTCTCTCTCTCTCTCCCTCTCACGGTAAGGCTAATCATGTTATGCAGTGTTCACTCTATCATCATCAAGCGAGTGCCTACTGTACACTAGAGCACTCCTTTCTCTCCTGTCACTCTCCCTAATTAGAGGTAATAAATTCTTTGATATATCCATGATATTTTTGCACACACTGCCACAAACGCTGTGTTGTGGCTTCAGTTCTGTGGTTTCCACTTGAACTATGCGGGAACCATTATTATTCAGGATAAATTTGAGCCCTTTCGAGTCAGCCACAGAGTATGAGTAATTAAGTTTATTTTGTTGATAGGTAATTTTAGCTGAATTTTAATTTAGATCAGAGTCGAGGC